AACTTGAATTTGAAGGCTAGGAATGTTACATAACAAGCTAGGGGAAGTACCTCAAAGATTTGGAGCTTAAAAATTGATGATTTGGACCTTTAAACTTGGATTTAGGAGAGAGGTTAGAGAGAGAGTAGAGAGAGGAAGAAAAAGCTTCAAATGAGTGCTTAGATAACTTTAAATAGTGTCTAAGTTTTGGACACGGTGGAATTCTACCCGATACCGGCATTAAACGCGGCTTTTGGTCGCACCCGATTAAGTTACCGTCACCCGGCGGGAATGTTTCTATCTTTTTGAAATGAATATTTTTGGGTTAATTTCATGAGTTCCTAAGGGATTTGAACACTCATTAAATTATAATAACATATAAATTTAATTAGTTAACCCGAAGCGAGAACGAAACGAATCGATTGACGGCGAAGTCTCACGGGTAGAACAAGTTTTCGACGATGGAAAACTTCGAGTTGTTACAATTTTAAACATTTAAAATACTTGGTGGTTTAATCTATTAATTAAATTATACTCTTAATTTAATTAAACTTAAGTCATGTCTTTATGGAATTATTAACTCTTATAATTAAACACTTTAATTAATTTAATGAAGTACATAAAGTTTGAATTTTTTTTAAACTTTTAAAAAAAAATTAATTTGGAATTAAAGTGTAAGACTTTACAAATTCCAAAACTTGAGGGCAACAATTGAAACTATTCCAAGTCTCTTCAATTTGTAACTTATGAGTTTTAATGGTTCATAAAGTTGAAGACTCTTCATTTTATCAAACCTACTATTCCTTAATTTCAACCTTTAAAGAAGTGACTTTTGGTTATCCATAACTTGAGGACAAGTTATGGACACCATTATTGCCATTAAGATCATGAATTAAACACACATGGAGGTTACACATAATTCCTATGATCTTCTAAAAACTCATAAGAACACAAATTCATGTCAAACAATTTCAAGAAATCATATAAACATATACAATACTTGAAAATTGATAAAAATCATGTAAAATGGGTTAACATAATCATTATCAATTTTGAAAAACAGATTTTACAAGTCCAAAACAGATTGAGATAATGATTTTAATCCATTTTTAGAAACAAAACACGAAAAACTGCCCAACACGCTCCTACTCGTCGAGTGCATGATCCTACTCGACGAGTAGGATAAATTTGTTCGTGGACTCGGCGAGTCCTCCCCATGAACTCGACGAGTCCAGTCGTCAGAGTGCAGAATTTTCGATTTTTTAAGCAGTTTTGCATCAAGTATACAGAAAACAATCCTAGGCTCTGATACCACTGTTGGGTTTTGAGCATTCTAAAACTTCCTAAGTGTACATGCAACCCTAATAACCTTGAATCTATGTTTTCTCTATATACATGCAAATTTCTTTTTCAAGGTTATTTCCTAACTAGCATGACATCGGGATTACATAAAAACATAAAAACTAGTAGAAACACATACCTTGTTGTTGCTTGGATTCCTTCAAGACTTTGTGAGCCTAGCACCCCAAATGTTGTGCCTCAAATGCTTCACACAACACTACAACCTTGGAATAACTAGAGATAATACTTCTACACTTCAAAATCGGCTATGACCTCACAAGAATACTCTAGTAACACTAGTACCAATTTTGCATGCTATAGGGTTTCTTTTATAGTGTGCCATAATTAGGAGTTACAAATGTAAACCCTAATTGTCATGACTCTTCATTTCTCATGACCCATGGGTTTGTAACTCCCATGGACTATCCATGGAGCTCCATATGTTTATAACCAAACCCATAAACCATGGATCATTAATCCACCATAGAAGAATTGATGATTGTCATAATCAACCCTATATATTTAATTAGTCTCACTTTGATCACCAAATTAATTCTAGATTAATACTTGATCAAATACTAATTAAATAATACTATTATTAATATATTATAACTTATAATATATTAATAATCATAAGTGCCTTATTCTCTCATTTAGTCTATCCAAGTATTGCAATGCCATGCAACCCAAATGGACCATGCCGGGTCGGGTCAAGTTCATACCAAATAAAGTTATGGACTTAGACATTATATCCAGCAGTAGTATGATCCTGTGTTACCCCGATGGTAACTTACTAATGATGTGCTGATAAGTATGAATATGGAAGTACTTTTATGTCTATACACGTATATATGATATATAACTAATATTGAAACGACCCTCGGATGGTCACCCGAAATCCCACCAGACCACATCTCAGTGTGCGAAAAGGAAATAGGGCGGATGGCCTTCCTAAGCCCTTTAAACATTACTTATATATCTATACATATATGGGCATGCAATTTATAAGTAGCAAAACAAAGTTTAAATAAAAGCATTTGATAAGTAAAAGAGTTTGTAAAACATTTTGAAGTAAAACAGTTTGAACAGTGATAAAATCATTGGTTTCCTAGTTATTAATCACATGTGATTAATGTAATCACATGTGATCGAAGCAATAACTATAAGTGTTTAACTTTTATTCCCCCCATAAAGTATTAAAACATTTAAAAGCATTTCAAAGGTTGAATAAAGGGGTATGAACTCACTTGGAAGTTTGAAGATAGCGAGCTCGAAAACCGGTCAGAGTTTCGTCTCGGGAAACGGATTTTTCTCGGGATTCTCGGGAATCTCGGGAGTAAAATCGACCCTCGGGACTTGAGCAAAAATGACCAGGGCTTCGGGGTAGTGCGAGCATGGAAAACGAGGTAAAACGCAAGAAAAAGGAGAGTGAATGAGCAATTTTTCCAGAACCCCTCGCACCCCTTTTATAGGGGGCTGGAAGGCCCTCGTACACGGGGCGTACTCCCGTACGCGGCGCGTACGGGACGTCACTGCTTACGTATTTCGGATGGGGCGGGTCGGATGGGACGACGGGTCGGGTAGCTTCGCATAGGGCGACGTGGACGATCCGAGGCCGTGGCCTCGAGTACGCGGGGCGTACGAAGGTACACGGCGCGTACTTCGGCCCTAGGCTGACTCCTCTTCGAGGTAAGCTGAACTTGGAAAAATCATAACTTCAATATACGAAGTCGGATTTGGGCGTTCTTTTTACGTACGATCATGGTTTAATAATATTTAAACATAGAAGAATTTAAATAGAAACTTTCTGGACATTTTATTATCAAAGTTAATTTTATTAACTCAAAAATGTTTACAATACTTGACCTATTAGGCCATTACAAAGAGTTGAAATATCGGGTTGTCACAAGATCCGACCTGGGACACAACATATGCATCTCTATTTCTATGTATCATCTCTCTATCTATCTATGTCAGTCATATGTTGTCCCCTCTGCGTGATTGGAAGAGATCCAACCTTGGACACAACATATTCACCCTTCTATCTCTATAACCCTCTATCTATGTTAGTCATATGTTGTCCCTCTACGTGATTGGATGAGATCTGACCTTGGATACAACATATGCATCTCTATATCTATCTTCTCTATCAAATAATTGAACACCCACCTAAAGTAAAGAGCTATTTCGAATTCCTTGATTGTTAGGGTATGTTGTGAAGTGGGGAATGCATTGTAGTGGTCTTAAAATTGAATTGGTTTATGACTAAAAGTTGATTGTAGATCTCGCTACTGAATTTAAGGGGACAACAATATCCTTGGTCATCATCAGCTAAATGGTCTATTTAGGAATATAGTTGCGAAATATACTTGCAATGTTTTATCACTTATAATCTATCCAACTTGTAAATATCCTTTATTTTTAAGTGGACCACAATATTGGTGATTGACCAGAGTATTCCATGCTGGTGTGTGCTGATAAATGGTATTAATATTGCTTGACAACATTTGATCCCTAAAAGTTTTCAATTTAATTATTAAAGTGTGTTCATTTTGTTTTATTATATTTTTGTTTCTAAAATTTTTATTCATTTTATTTTAGTTTTCATTTAGGTTGCATTCATTTAAAATTTAAAATTTAAAATTTTAGTTTTTATTTTGTTTATTCTATTTAAGTTTATTTTTTTCATTCTATTTTATGTTTAATCTAAAGAAACGAATTATTGAAAATGAATCGTTAAATGAATTGGGGCCCATCGATTTCGGTGGCCTAAAGGACCGAGAACCCATCTTTGATTTTATTATGGTTTTTATTCTTCATCCTCACTCCTCACCACCGAAATCTCTTACTTTTCTCTCAAAAACTCAATTGAAACCCTGATTTTCTCTACTCATATGGTCATCCTCAAATCATCATTTTTCTTTGATTCTTCGATTTCATGACTAGGTACGTAGATTACGAGTAACTTGCTTCATTTTTATGCTTGTTTTTTGATGTTTTTGCAGGTGCTCAATGGATTTTCGGCATGGTTATGGTGGTTTCCGAGGAATCTGTCAAGGGTTTCAAATTTTGAAAAATCGGGTTTTTTTTTTTAACCCGGATCCAACCGAAATCAATTATATTGACCGAAATTAATATGGTTTACCGAAAATGTTTGGTCAAAAGTGTTTTGACCAAAATCATCACCCATTCTACCGAAAACTCAAAGTTTGACCGAAATCAACTTACTTTGACCGAAATCACCAATATTGACCAAACTTTAATATTTTTGAGAAAATAAAATTTTAATTTTAATTTTTATTGTTCTCACTTAATTCGTTTGGTGTAGATAAGGCGGAACAGATGAAATTTGTTGATTCTCACAACATCACAAGATATCTCTTGGATCCAACTGTCGCGCATAATGAATTCAAATCCATGACCATGGGTTTTAACAATTGTAGAATTTCTCATGCTTGGCGTACTAATCCAGTCATCTACAAGGACCTGATAACTGAGTTCTGGAAAAATGATTCACTCAACAAGCAGGGAGCAGATGGTGTTGGTGTTGTTGAATCAATGGTGAAGGGAAGTCCAGTAATTATTTTCGAGCATGTTATCCGAGAAGTGCTTGAGTTTTTGATAATCCTACATTTCCTTTTGAGTACTCTGCCGATCAAGTGAAGGGAGTCCTTCAGAAGATGTGCTATGAAGGAACCTATCATCCTACCATCAAGAAGCTCCTGCCACCTTTCTGGAGGCTTCTGGCACACTACTTTGTAATTTTCATTTCTAGAAGGAAGGGAGGATCGGATGAAATTAGTCAAACTACGACCTTGGCTATTGTCGCTCTAGCAATGGACTGGGATTACAATTTTTCAAGATTTCTCTTTGAAGAAATGAAAAGCAGCCTTCACGGGAAGAAGAAGGACCTATTTTTGATGTATCCCAAGTTCCTTCATATGATCCTAAATGACAAATATCCCCAACTTTAGAGGTCATATGATACTTTGGATATGAAATCTTTGAGTCCCAACACCTTTGGGCTCATGAGATAGTCAAGAAAAGCTACCAAAATCTCCTATCTAGGGTTGAAGGAGTTTGTCAAGTTTGGAAAGTTTGCTGAAGTTAAAGATACTCCTACTGCCAGTTCCATTAATGTTGAGATTTTCGAGGGACATGTGGCACCTATACCAAAATTTCAATTTGCATTTGAAGAGGTTGAAGTGTCTGATGATGAAGGCGATGCGAGTCAAGAAAAGGAGTTGACAGAGAATGAGTTTGATGATTTTCTACAAGGTATCTCAATTCCTGATGATAATATTCATATGTGTGAATCATCGAAGGAACCAGTCAATGAAGCTGTGATTTCTCCAGATGAGATAGAGAATGAAGTCAATATTTTCAAGCAATTAAATGATCCAACCCCTGAACAGATGGATGCTCTTATTTCCGAACTTCAGTGAAATATGAGGAAGCCTCCCTAAGCATTTCCTGTTACATTTGAACCTCCATTTAAGAGTGATCAAGAAGAATCAGCTCATGTCCCTCTTTCGAGGAAAAGAAAAAGAAGAGATCCAAGACTTGGAGTACTTATTATAGACCTTGTTCAAAATGTATCTACTCTAGTTGAACCTAGTCTTGTGGCCTAAAACATTGAAAGCACCTTCACAAAGCCTAGTTCAAGCCCATTACCTGAATCCACACATATGGATCAAGATTTTGAAAGCCCTATTGTTGAACAAGAAGTTTTCCCTTCAGAAAGGGATCAAACCTTTGGAAGTTCTTTTGAGGCCCCTGAATTGGATATTTCAAAGGTCAGGAGAAAAATGCCCGATTCTGAGTTTATAGATGTGGCTTTGTTTCAAAACAGAGTTTTTGATTCAGAATAGAGCTCAGCTGAAAAGGATTGGATTATTGGAAGGCAGGACATTAGAATCAGTGATCTTGAAAAAGAGAACTCAATTAAAGATGCAAATATTTCAGATCTTCAAGAAAATCTTGGGGGTCTAACTACCTTGTTCTTTGACTTAAAATAGCACTTTCATCAAAGGTTTAGTGATGATTTTCAACCTTTAAGTGATGAAGGTGAAAAAATTTAGGTTTCTAGTTCTGGTCCAGTCAATCCATCTTCTCAACCTACAAGTGAAAGAGTTGTGAGGCCTACTCCGGATGAAAATCTTGACACATTTTAATCTTTCGGTCCTGCTTCTGCTTAAGAAAGAAGAGAGAAGAAATTTAGGGTTGAGCAATTAAGGGGGAAGATGCTAGCGATGAAGCATTCTAACAAAAATGCTCTAGGTGATCACCTTGAGATATTTTTCAGGGAGACTAGGAAGCAATTTACTCATAAGTATGGCGACCGCTCTGGCATTCTAATATTGAGATATGATGCAGACAATAAAATATGCATCGTAAAGCGAAAGAGCTTCACGAGTTGAATATTATGAGAATAAAGTCTACTTTTTGTCTTAGATAAAAGTTGATCTTTTTGAAATCATTCATTTTCGACAATCCAACCAATGAAGCTATAGCCTGGTCTTTTAAGAAATTTCTTGAGGATACAACTAAAAGATTTTGGATTAGGTGTCTAAGCCCATAACTATAATTGAGATGTACTTGACCTGATAGTAGCATGGTCCTTTTGGGTTGCCTTCATCAGTGCAATTTGATAGGATGGACTTTTGAGAATAAGGTTATTTATTATTTATTAATATATTATAAGTATAATATATTAATTGATAAATCATATTATTTAATTAGTATTGATCAAGAATTAATTTGGAATTAATTTTGTGATCAAAAGAGACTAATTAAATATATGGGGACTAATTATGTAAATCAATGATTCTTATACTGTGGGCTAATGATCCATGGTTATTATGAGATAGTGCATGGATAGTTCATGGAGGTTTAACTCATACAGCCTAAGTAATATGAAAGGTCATGGCGCATTAGGGTTTTCATGGATGTAACCCTAGCATTTGTCACACTATAAAAGTACACCCCTAGAGCCAAAATCGGCGACCCCATTTATTCTAGGAGAGTGATATTAATTTTGTGCTAAGTAACTTATTCTCTCAAGCCTCCTCTTGCATTTGGTGTTTGTGACACATTGGAGGCATCACACTTGATGTGCTCAAGCTTTCAAAGGTCATGAATTACACCCTACATATAAGAGGTAATCATCTAAACTAGTTTTTATGTTATATAGCTTCAATTGTAAGCTTTGGAAAATTAAAAATGCATGTAAAATTATAGAAAAGATAGATCAAAAGCATCTAGGGTTTTATGTGCATCATAGGAGTGTTATAGTGCTCAAAAACTAATAGTGGTATCAGAGACTATGATTGTTTTCTGTTATACTTAATGCTTGTTAATTTTCCACGTTGAAAAAAATTAATTTTCTGGCCTCTGACTGATGAACTCTCCGAGTCCACTCAATAAAGGACCAACTCAACGAGTCAGGTTCGTGCACTCGTCGATTTGATCGCTCTGGTTGCAGAATTTTGAGTTTTTGGCCACAATTAGATTAGGATCATTACCACAAATTGTTTTTTAAAACATAAAATCCGTTTTCTTGATATGGTAGTGATCATGCTCATCCATTTAACAGATAATTGTCAAAATTTCAAGATTTTTGTTAGTTTATATGATTAGGCTAATTTCTTGCAAATTCTTAATATGAATTATCTTGACTTATGAGTTAACTAGATCATAGATAAATTACTTGATAATTTTTGTTACTTATAATGTTGATCTTAATGATTTTAATGGCCTCCATAACTTGTCCTCAAGTTATGGAAAATGAAAGCTCTCATCCATTAAAATGCAATTAAACTCATATGTTATAGAAATGATGAGTTTTGGCATGTTTCAAAACTTGCCCTCAATTTTTGGAATTTGTAAAGTCTCACTAATGAAACTTTAATTCCAAACCCTAGAGTTTTAAAAGTTAAAATTCAATGCTACTATTTTATAATATTATAAGTTTAATAATATATATATATATATATATATATATATATATATATATATATATATATATATATGTAAGAAAAGTAAGTCTTACCGTTAGTAGGCCTCATTCACAAAGTCGGTCTATAAGGGGGGGGGGGGGTATAAGGTTTCTGCCAATAAAATGGTGCTTTAATGGGTGTCCACTCTCACCCACCGCTTCCTTGACTCGTGGAGGGTCGTTAGCCGAATGGGTAGGATAGGACATTAATTCTGATTAAAAATGTAATGATAAATATAAAGTAACTAAACTTTTATTAAATTCCAAATCTTAGTTACTTTAGAAAAATGTGAAAATGGTGCTAATGCGTGAAATTACACTTTGCACCTTGTTAAGTCGTTAGTGGAGCGTGTGTGGTTAACCAACACACTAATCTGGGACTGACAATGTGTGGCAAAAGGTTGCTTGATGTTAATCATAGATTAATGGTGCGTTTGTGGTTAACCAACACATTGACTAGGTGATTTGTAACATTGAGTGACCCAAGCTAATTAATTTGCATCGTTATTCACACCTTGTTTGTGATCTTCGGCATCCCTGTCATAAAATTTAAGGGCACAATCGAGATTTAAACATGCCATTGAAAAGTTTAATGAATCTCAAAGGATCTAGGAATTTCAATCCAATTAAAACGTTATAATCTATTTTGTTTTTTATGGTGGAAATTGGTAAATCGTCATTTACCTACCTTCAAATATTTTACAATTAGATTACGACATCCCTTTTCGCAATTGTAGAATATTGTGTTGGGTCCTAGCATTAATATTTCATTTGGGTGTAATATTAAGGATTATCATCTAAACTAAACTTTGTTCTTCATCTTTTTCAGATGTCTATCCCAAACAGTTCTTCCAACCCGATCCCCTCAGGCTCTTTCTTGCTCATGAACCTATGTGGGAAGGTCATTTTCTATGGCTCAAACTTCAATTACTGGATTCGGAACATCTGAATGGCTATTCGCAATGAGGATAAAGAATATATCCTAGATAATGAGCTTAAGGAGATTGATGTCACCACTGCTACTCCCGAACAGATCGTTAAACATGTTACTCATGAGAGGGATGCGAAAAGGGTGTCATGTCTAATGATTGCTACCGTGATTGCTGAGCTACAAAAGTCCTATGAGGACTACTATCCTTTTGAAATGTATCAAGATTTGATGGAAAGATACCATCAAAGTGCTCAACATGAGAGGTATGAGTTCATTTCCTCCATGATCACAACCAAAATAAAGGATGGAGAACCCATCACGGCTCACTTGCAAAATATGCAGAGATATATGGACCACTTGCTTAAATTGAATGTCAATTCTGATGAGGAGTTGGCCATAGATATTATTCTATACTCTTTACCTTCTTATTATGATCAGTTCGTATGACCTATCATATGAACGAGGAGGAGGTCACTCTTAGCAAGCTTCAAGACCTTCTAAGAACTACATAAAGCAACTTGAAAGGCAAGTCGGTTGTGTCTACTCCTACCACTACTACTTCTACCCCTATTCTGGCAATTGGACATGGAAAGGGAAAGAAGAGGAATGCTCCCGACAAGAGACGCAAGGGAAAGTCTCTTGATGGATCCTCTTCCAGTGGGACCAAAGATGGTTATGCTAATCCCTATTCCAATTTGAAGGATGCAGAGTGCTTCCACTATCAAGAAAAAGGGCACTGGAAACGAAGCTGCCCTAATTACTTGCAGGACATAAAGGATGGCAACATCAAGCCCTCCTTTGCAGGTATTTACACTATTCACTAGAATAAATCATCACATGCTAATTCTTAGGTCCTTGATGTAGGTTGTGGATTTCACATTTGTTCTGATTTGCAGGAACTAAAAAGAAGTAGGGATGTGGAGCATGGGAAGATAAACTTAATCATGGGAAGTAGGAAAGTGTTTCTTGTAACCAAGATTGGAGTTTATTCTTTATTTCTTAGTAATGCTTTAACTGTTTTGAATAATTGTTTTTACTCAGCCGATATGGCGAGAAACACTATTTCCTTTCATAGTTTGTATAAACAAGGTTTTACCTTTTCTTTTAATAATGAGGTTGGTGGTATTAATGCTTATTATAATGGTGTATTTTATTTTGAAGCATTACCTTGTAATGGTATATATGAATATGTGATGGTAGTAGATAACCTAGGAAATAATGTGTTAAATATTGATTCGTCTAATGTTTTGGACAAGGAATGCTTGTGACATTGTTTTCTTGGTCATGTCAACAAGAAGTGCATAACCCAACTCCAAAAGGATGAAGTCTTGGAGTCATTCGACTTGAAGTAGGATGACACTTGCAAATCTTGTTTACTAGGAAAGATGACCAAGTCACCCTTCACTGGTACTTTTGAAAGAGGTGAAGGTCTGTTGAATCTCATACACACTGATGTGTATGGACCATTCAGAATCACCACAAGGGATGCTAATCACTTCTATGTGACTTTCATTGATGATTACAGTAGGTATGGCTATATCTACTTACTCAAGCATAAGTTAGAAACTTTTGAAAAGTCCAAGGAGTTTAAGCAAGAATTGGAGAATAAATTGGGTATGAAAATAAAGATGCTACGATTTGATCGAGGAGTAGAGTATCTTAGTATCGAGTTCCTAGACTATATTAAGGAATGTGGAATTGTTTCACAATTGATGCCACCTAGGACACCACAGCTTTATGGTATGGTTGAAAGGCACACGCGAACCTTGCTAGACATGGTTCATTCCAAGATGAGTCGAGCTTCGTTACCTATCTCATTCTAGGTGTATGCCTTAGAGACTATCGCCTATATCCTTAGTCTAGTCCCTACCAAAAAGGTTTCCAAAACACCACACGAGATTTGGACAATGGAGGTTCCCTCGCTATATCACATTAAAGTTTGGGGTTTCGAGGCTTTCATGTGACGTGAGCCTCACAACAAGCTCGAACCTCGCAGTGAGTGATGTATTTTTATCGGCTACCCACAAAATTCCTTTGGATATCTCTTCTATAGACCGAGTGACAATGTTGTCTTCGCTGCGAGGAGAGGAGTCCTAAGAGAGAGAGAGATAAAGAGAGAGAGAGAGAGAGAGATAGAGAGAGAGAGAGAGAGAGAGAGAGAGAGAGAACACATATGCCAAGAGGAAACTGGGAGGCAAATTGACCTTGAAGAGCTTCAAGAGTTAAGCGATGAAGGGACTCCAAACACTAGCACTCCACCTGAGGAGGAAACTACGGTTGAAGCAATTAACGAGTCTGTACTTCTAAGGCATTCCAGTAGAGTTAGTGTTCCACCTATTTTTTATGATTTTCATATAACAGCTAAAGGTGATACATTTATCAGTGATAGCACAATGATAAATTTGGATGAACCTAACAACTACAAGGAAGCCATGGCAGGCCCCAAGTCTACAAAATGGAAAGAGGCTATGGACAGCAAGATTCAGTCCATGTATGACAATCAAGTTTGGAACTTGGTTGACAATGTACCGTGTTGTAAGATAGTCGGGTGCAAATGGATCTTCAAGAAGAAGACCGACCTGGATGGGAAAGTAGACACATAGAAGGCGCGATTGGTTGCTAATGGTTTTGCTTAAACTCATGGAGTTGACTATGATGAGACCTTCTCACCAGTAGTGAAGATTAAATCATAAGGTTTATGCTAGCCATAGTTGTATTTTATGACTATGAGATATGGGAAATGGATGTCAAAACCGTTTTCCTTAATGGAAAGTTGGCTGAAGATGTTTACATGAGTAAGCTAGAGGGTTTTGTCAATGTAAAGTACCCTAATAGAGTGTTTCATCCTGAAAAAATCCATCTGTGGATTGAAACAAGCATCTCGCAGATGGAATCTTTGTTTTGATGTGAAAGTCAAAGAGTTTGGATTTTTGAGAAGCGAGAATGAGTCCTATGTATATGCCAAAGCTAGTAGGAATATAGTAGGCTTTCTAGTATTGTATGTAGATGACATACTACTCATTAGAAACGACATCCCAACCTTGCAGGAGGTTAAGTCCTGATTTGGGAAGTGTTTCGCTATGAAGGACCTTGGGGAAGCTGCTTACATTCTAGGGATAAGGATATTGAGAAACAGGAGTAAAAGACTAATATGGCCTAGTAAAAGAACCTACTTGGGCAAGATGTTGAAGCGCTTCAGCATGGAGAACTCAAAGAAAGGCGACTTGCGTTTCCAAGGCAATGCCAAACCGAGTAAGACTCAGAGTCAGAGTACAGAGGCTGAGATAGCAGAGATGAGTCGAATACCATATGCTTCCACAGTTGGCTCGATCATGTATGCTATGACTTTTACTCGCCCTGATGCGGCCTTTGCTTTGAGAATGGTAAGAAAATATCAAGGGAATCCTAGTAAAGCCCTTTAGACTACGGTTAAGAACATTCTTAAGTACCTGTGGAGGACTAAGGACCAGGTCCTTACCCTCGGTTGGAGTGATGACTTGAGAGTGACAGGGTATAGTGACACCAAGTTTCAAACCGATAGAGATAATTTACGCTCTCAGTCGAGTTGGGTGTTTAGCCTGAATGGAGGAGCAGTAACATAGAAAAGTTCCAAGCAGGAGACTTTAGCTGATTCAACGTGCGAATCAGAGTACATAGCAGCAAGTGAAGCATCGAAGGAGGTGATATGGTTGAAAAACTTCATTAGAGACCTTGGAGTCATATCATCCATAAAGGAGGCTGTGGATATTTTCTGTGATAATGAACGTGCGGTTGCCTTAGCCAAGGAATCGATAGATCATGATCCATGCATATCAACAGAAAGTACCACTTCATAAGACATCAAGTAGAAGAAGGACACCTCGTGATGAAGAGGATATCGTCATAGGACAACCCAACAGATCTCCTTACGAATGCACTGACTAGGGTTAAGCACTTGCAGCATGCAAGGGGCATTGGGCTAACAAAAGATAGTAGTTTTAGTGTTTAGATATATAGAAACTTTTAATAGCTAAATTGTAATTGACATTTGATGATTAAATAAAAGGAGTTTTATTTAAAAGTAAAGTTATTGTATTATGTCAATTATTTACTATTTTTTATCTTTTTCATGTTTTGACTTCTAGAAAAATAAGATTATTCAAAATATCCACAGTCAATCATACTTTGGAGGTAGGTTATGAGGCTAGAATGTCATGAATTGGCTTTTAGATTGTCAGAGGCGTTAGACATAGAAAAGGTTTTGCAACACCATTCATGAGTGATCCTGATATAAGATTTGAGTATTGGATTTAACCCGTGCTCACCTGAATTACTTCATGGAATTTATAATGAGTAATTGTGAGACGATAATATCATATAATCTTCAAACCAAGATATATGTGTTGTTGACTACGAGTTAGTTGTACATTGATGATACGAAAACGCATCAGTAACTTGATGTTATAAAACGTGTCATTGTTCTTGATTTGATGAGTAGTTAGTAGAAGCATATAATGTTGAGGTTTATCTGTTCCTTTTCTCCTAAGAGGATTAAAAGCGATATCTTGGGCCTTGTGATGATTCTGTTTTGATTATGTGTCGGGACTAGTCAGAACTAAATTGATGTGTTCAATTATGTTCTATGTCAGAAGAATAGGAATTTGGGAAACAAATTGCAGGACAATAAGTATGACTATGTTCCATGTATTTGTCCGCATAGATATCTTTAGAATAGAGCAATATATGATCCCATATCTAAAGGATGCATCACTGACTGGGTAAGAGTTTGACAATGGCTTTTGAGAGCTACGATCGCTAATCGGATTTTGATTTTGTATTTGCAATTATAGTTATTAGACGTATCCAAGTGGGAGATTGTTCGATTTTGTGTCTAAGCCCATAACTATAACTAGGATGTACTTGACCCGATAGTAGCATGGTCCTTTTGGGTTGCCCTCATCAGTGCAATTTGATAGGATGGACTTTTGATAATAAGGTTATTTATGATTTACTAATATATTATAAGTATAATATATTAATTGAGAAATCATATTATTTAATTAGTATTGATCAAGAATTAATTTTGTGATCAAAAGTGACTAATTAAATATATGGTGATTGATTATGTAAATAAATGATTCTTATAGTGTGGGTTAATGATCCATGGTTATTTAGGATGGGCTAAACAAATGAGATAGTCCATGGAGGTTTAACCCATGGAACCTAAGTAATATGAAAGGTCATGGTGCATTAGGGTTTGCATGGATGTAACCGTAGCATTTGTTCACATTATAAAAGCACACCCCTAGAGCGAAAATCGGTGACCCCATTCATTCTAGGAGAGTGATATTGATTTTGTACTAAGTAACCTATTCTATCAAGCCTCCTCTTTCATTCGGTGTTTGTGACACATTGGAGGCATCACACTTGAGGTGCTCAAACATTCAAAGGTCAAGAACTACACCCTACATATAAGAGGTAATCATCTAAATTGTTATATAGCTTCAATTGTATGCTAGTTAGGGTGTATGATTTGGAAAATTAAAAATGCATGTATAATTAGAGAAACCAGAGATCCAGAGCATCTAGGGTTGTATGTGCACCATAGGAGTGTTATAGTGCTCAAAACCTAAAAAAGTAACTTTCAAGGTATGAAGACTACTTCATCGTTTACAAAAAAGGCCAAAGATGTCATTGATCCTCGCACTAATAAAACCATGGTGAATGTTATGTGGCCGCCTAAAAATCAAGCTAAAAGAATTCCGCTTCCTAAACGTTTACGAGAAGGCACTTTGGACTCAATGCAATTCTGGATTTATGATGATGCTACTGCATCAGTAGTGATTAAGCTGAAAAAGAACCAGTATCTCATTGTTGATCCCAAAGACTTATTGAAGTTTTGTGAATGTTACATCCAAACTTTGTCAAACTTTCAAATAATTATTAAGAATGAATGGTTAGAAGCAATCGAAAAAGCCTTCACCGGAATGGTAGCTACCATAATTGAAAGGAAACTATAGGTTGGAGCATTCGATCAGGCGGACGTGCATCTTGTGGAGAAGCCTTGAAGCTAGCCAACCATAAACCAAGGGGGAGATTGTTGGGTAATATTTTTGTGGTATATGCTGGGCTTATAATTTATTATTGTATTTGGGCTTCAGCCTTTAAGGCTTTGTACTTGGTGTGTGTGTGTGTATATATATATATATGTGTGTGTGTGTGTGTGTGTGTGTGTGTATTGCTTTTCAGTCGTTTAGGGTTGTTCATTCAGTGTGGTATTCGGCTGTTAAGTGTTTTCTTGATGTACCAACTGGATTGATCTAATATAATCATGTGCATTAAGTATTTTTGTGTGTTCTTGAGTCGATATCTGATTTATATTTCATGATCATTAGATAGTTTGAGTGATATATTTATAACCTAAGTGTTTTGGGACTTAGAAGTTCTTCAATCTTATAGCCTCCTTCGATGCTTCGCTCGCAGCTTTGTATTTTGATTCATAAGTAGAATCAGCCATCGTCTCCTGTTTGGAACTGTTCCAAGTTAATGCTCCTCCATTAAGGGTAAACACCCTGCCAAAATGAGAAAAAAGTTGTTCTGTCTGTCTGAAAGCTGGCATCACTATACCCAGTTACTTTCAAGTAATCATTGCCACCAAGCAAAAGGACCTAGTCCTTAGTTCTTTGCAGATACTTAAGAATATTCTTGACCGTTGTCCAATGACCTCTACCTGAATTTCCCAGATATCGACTAACCATGCTCAAAGAAAAAGCCACATTAGGGCGAGTGCATTTCATATCATACATTATCGATCCAATGGCTGAAGCATATTGACGTCAACTCATTTCTACTATCTTTGTATCAGTACTTGGACTCCGAGTCTTACCCAGTTTGGTATTACTCTGGATAGGCAACTCTTATTTTTTGGAATTCTCCCTGCTAAAACATTTTAACACTTTATCTAAATACGTACTTTGACTAAGTCCAAGTGGTATTTTTCTCCTAGTTCTCAAAATCCTTATCCCTAGAATATAGGAAGCCTCTCCCAGATCCTTCATAGCAAAACACTTTCCAAGCCAACACTCAAATTCTTGAAAGGTTGGAACATCGTTCCCTATAAGAAGTATGTCATTGACATACAATGCCAGGAAGGTTACTATACTCCCACTAGCTTTGACAAATACACAAGATTCATCTTCACTTCTAGAGAGGCCAAACTATTGAACTTCCTCATCAAAGCAAAGATTCCATCTGCGAGAAGCTTTTTTCAATCCATAGATTGACTTCTTAAACTTACACACTCTATTGTGGTACATAGCACCCACAAAACCCTCTGGATGATTCATGTAAACATCGTCAGCTAATTTCCCATTAAGGAAGGTAGTTTTCATATCCACCTGTCAAATTTCATAGTCATGAAATGCAGCTACGACAAGAATTATCCTAATAGATTTAATTTTAGCCACTGGTGAGAAGGTCTCAGCATAGTCAACTCTTGGGGTTTGAGTAAAGCCCTTTGCAACCAGTCAAGGCTTGAAACCATGCACCTTTCCGTCCATGTCGGCCTTCTTCTTGAAGATCCATTTGCACCCAACTATTTTACGACCTGGTACATTGTTAACCAAATTCCAAACATGGTTTTCATAGATGGACTTGATGCTGCTGTCCGTTGCCTCTTTCCACTTGGCAGACTCAGGACCTACCATTGCTTTCTTGTAGTTAGAAGGTTCATCCAAATTTACCAGTGTACTATCACTAATAAACATATTGCCTTTTGTCGTTATATGGAAAGCTTACAACACATGCAGAATGCTAACCCTACTAGAATGCCTAAGTGGTAATGACTCGTCAATTGGTTCAACTGGAATTTCTTCCTCGGGTTGAGCCATAATATTTTTAGTGGTTCCTTCATCGCTTGACTCTTGAATTTCTTTAAGATAAATTGTACTCCCGTTGTCCTCTTTGCATATAAGCTTTCTTTCGCAAAAGACTCCCCTTCGCGCTACAAAGAACGTGTTGTCACTATGTCTGTATAACAAATATCCATAGGACTTTTGTGGGTATCCGATGAAAATACATATCTCCCTTTAAGGTTCAAGATTGGCATGAGTCTCTTGTCTAACGAAAGCTTCATAACTCCAATGCTTGATATGTGCTAACGACGGAACCTTCCCTATCCACATCTCGTGAGGTGTTTTGAAAACCTTCTTTGTTGGGACAAGATGAAGAATGTGGGCAACAGTCTCTAAAGCATACCCCCGAAATGAGATTGAAAGTGAAGCTCGACTAATCATGGAACGAACCATGTCTAACAAGGTTCGATTACACCTCCCAGCCACACCATTAAGTTGTGGTTTCCTACAAGGTGTCAGTTGTGAAACTATTTCACATTCCTTGAGGTAGTCGTGGAATTCGATACTAAGATACTTACCACCTCCATCAGATATGAGCATCTTCATCTTCCTTCCCAATTTATTCTTGTCTTCTTTTTTCAATTCTTTGAAATTTTCAATAGTTTCTGACTTATGCTTAATTAAGTAGATATACCCATATTTACTATAATCATCAATAAAAGTCATATAGAATTGATTTGCATCCATTGTGGTGGATCTGAAGGGCCCACATACACCTGTGTGTATGAGATCCAACAATCCTTCACCCCTTTCACAAGAACCAGTGAAAGGTGATTTTGTCATCTTTCCAAGTAAACAAGACTCGCATGTATCATCTGACCTCAAGTCAAATGATTCCAGCACTCTATCCTTTTGGAGTTAGGTGATGCGTTTCTTGTTGACATGTCCAAGATGATAATGCCACAAGCATGCTTTGTATAAACCATTAGACAAATTCATTTGTAAAACACTATTACCTAAATTGTCTACAACCATAACAATTTCATACATGCCATCACAAGGTAAAGCTTCATAGTAAAATACACCATTTTTAAAAGCAGAAATAGATCCATTCTCCTTATTAAAAGAATATATAGAACCTTGTCTATATAAAGCATGAAATGAAATGATGTTTCATGTCATCTCTGACGAATAGAAACAATTATTCAAATCTAAACACAACCCACTACTAAGCACTAAGTTATAAACTCCAATCTTGGTAACAGGTGATGATCTCCTATTACCCATGATCATGTTTATTCTTCCATGCTTCACATCCTCACTTTTTATTAGCCTCTGCAAATAAGAACAAATGTGGAAACCACATCCTGTATCAAGGAACTAAGAATGAGAAGAAGATGAGTTAATAGATAAGATAATGTAAATACCTGCCGAGGTTGGCTTCATCTTGTCATCCTTTATGTTTTGCAAGTATTTCAGGTAGCTTCGTTTCCAATGCCCTTTCTCATGGCAGTAGAAGCAAGTAGCCTCCTTAGGATCAGAGGTAGGTGAATCGTTAGAACTTGCTTTTCCTTTGGGTACATTGCTTGAGGACCTAGCTTGGGACTTTCCTTTCCAATTCTATTTAGGAGGACCCTTCCTCTTCTGCCCTTTTCCTTGCTCAATGGTCAAGACAGGAGCAGCAGCAGGAGTGGATGCAATACCTTTTCTCTTCATTCCTACATCAGTTCGCAGGAGGTTTTGAAGTTGTGCCAATGTGGTCTCTTGGTTGTTCATATGATATGTTTTGATAAGCTGATGATAACAACTGGGCAATGAGTACAAGACTATATTAATAGCTAATTCCTCATCAAAGTTCACATTTAGCTTTAGTAAGCGCTCCATATATCGTTGCATTCTTTGCATGTGGCTACTGACGGACACGCCATCTTTCATCTTGCTAGTGATAAGGGACTTTACTTCATACTTTTCCTGACAAGCTCTTTGGTGGTAATTTTCCACCAGGTTCTTGTTCATCTCGTATGGCTAGTAATCCTCGTAGAACCTTTATAGCTCAAGTGTCATAGTAGCCACCATGATGCACGCCACTTTGGTTGCATCGTTGTATTGCTTCCTATACTCATCCAGTTCTGCAGTAGTAGCTTGGGTTTATCGATCTTGAGAAGTTCCTTTTTGAGCAAATACTATTTTCCTTGAAATGTAGAGCCATTTTGATGTTTCGCATCTAATCATTGTTATTGGTGCTATCAAAGGTAACTCTCGAGCAGATGTTCATAAGCGAGAAGTTGTTAGAGGAGTTGTTGTTGCTGTTGGAGGAACCCGAAACATTGTTAGGAGTTGACATCTGAAAGAGAAGAAAGACAAGTTTTAGGTTAGATAAAAGTAATCCTAAATATAACACCCAGCTGAAATACTAAGGCTAGGATCCAACTAGATAATTCACAACATAGAAAAGGGATTTTGTAATCTAATTGTGAAATAAATAAAGCTAGGTGAATGGCGATTTACCAATTTCACCACGAAAAAAAGGAATTTGAACGAATTAGGTTTTTAATCAAATTTCTAGATCTTTTGAGATTCATTGAACTATTCAATGGCATGTTTAATCTCGATTATGATCTTCCAATAGTGACTGGGATACCGAGGATCACAAATAAAATGTGAGTAACCATGCAAATTAGCTTGGTACTCTCGATGTCATTTATCATCTCATTTTAATGTGTCGGTTAGCCACACACGCTCCATTAATCAATGATAATTTATGAGACACCCATTCCCACTCTTTATCACTCCATATTAGTATACCAATTAATCAAACATGCTCCACTAACGACTTATAAAGTGCAATGTGCAATTTCACGGATTAGCATCAAATTCACATTTTTCCTGAAGTAACTAAGATTGGGAATTTGGAAACTATTTTAGTTACTTTATAATTTCATTATACTTATTAATGATGAATAATTTCCCTATCAAACCCATTCAGATAATGACCCTCCACCAATGAAGAAAGCGGTGGATGAGAGTGGACACGCATTCAACTACCATTTTATAGATAATTTTCTGATACCCCCCTCCTTTATAGATCGATTTCATGAATGAGGCGTACTAGTGGTTCGATTGACTTAGTCTTACATATATAGTAAATATTAAATATTTAATTTTAC